TGCCAGTACCACTGTGTTTTGATTATTGTAGCTTTGCACTAAATTTTAAGAATCAGGAAGTGTGAGTTCTTCAACATCACTTTGTTACTCAAAATTGCTTTAGCTGGGCCTCCCCGGTGGCACAGCAGGTTGAGCGTAGCACTGTGAAGCTGTCCGCAGCCTCTGCGGCACCAGTTCGATTCCCGGCAGGCCAGGGAGAATCCCACATGGCGCAGCAGACCTCTCCTGTCTCCCCTGCTGCTCCCCTCAGCAGCGTATTTTAGTTGATCTGCCTGTTCTGTTTCCCGCTCCGTCTCTGGTGAATCCTCTCACCATCCCGTGACTCTGGCCTGTACCCCAGCTCTTGTATAAATAAAAATAAATCTTTAAAAACAAACGCTTTAGCTATTCAGAGTCCCTTGCAATTCCATATCAATTTAAAGATTAGCTTTTCCATTTTTATAAAGAGGGTTGTTGGAATTTTGATAGGGATTGCACTGAATCTGTAGATCAATTTGGGTAGTTTTGCCATCTAAACAATATTAAGTCTTCTAATCCATTTTCTATGTATAAGAGCTGCAAACAAGGATAGTTTTACTACTTCTTCTTCAATTTGGGTTCTTTTTACTTCTTTTTCTTGCCTAATTGCTTCAGCTAGAACTTCCAATACAGTGCTGAATGGAAGTAGTGAAAGTAGGCAGCTTGTCTTGTCTCTATCTTGGGGGGAGACCCTCTGTTTTTTACCAAGCATTCTCTCGATGCTTATTGGCTCTTCTCCCCAGGCTCTCCATGGTGTCTGGCTCCTCCCCTAAATTGATCAGGCAGCGTGTCTCCACCTGGTACTCCATCATTCTAGCACAAAGGGTAGTGGAAGAGGAATGAAACTCATAAATGCTGAAGTCTTCAAAAGCACCTGTTTTTCAGATCACTAAGAACTCAGGTTTGATGAGAAGGGTTATGTCTGTCTTGCCTGGCCACAGGAAAAACAAATCACCAATTCTTGCTGACCTGATTGGCAGGAGTCCAGGGAGAACTGTTGGCCATCAAGACACAGGTGTTCCAGGGCACCTGGCTCCGTGGCAGGCAGAGTCTGTTGACTTGGCATGGAAACCCTTGCTTGTGGGCAGGACCTTCTGCTGTCTTCCCTCTTAGCTGGAGGGCAATCTTATAAGTACCTACCCTAATGCCTGTGTCCCGACAGCCAGGCACCTTGGTGAAGAAAATGACTTGAGCCATTAAAAAAGTGGCCCTAGAGCACAAATTCAGAGCCAGAGCCAGAGGAACACAGGACTGTGAGCTCCGCTGGGCAATGTGTGACGTCATGTCTCATGGTAACCCTTATCATCTTCCTGAGACCAGACCAAGACTGCTGGGCACCCTCAGACAGGACTGTCATCAAACAATTCCTAGGAGAACTGGACAAAACCATCACAACAGTGGTGTACCTGACAGGGTTACTTCATTACCATTCCCTCTCGGCACCAGGGGCCAGGAGGACCCAGGACGACTAAGAATACAGAATTCTGAGAAACATGATTAATAATTAAAAAACTAGGTATGTATATTTACCATATATGTGTATACACACACACAAACACAAACATACCAGCAGAACATATATTTATTTTAAAATATTCATTGTACCTTTATATTTCTACACAGTGATTGTGTTAGACTGTAAAGAAAGTTTTTTTAATTGCAGAAAATGGAAGTCATACAAAGCCCCATCCTCAGATCATAACGGACTTCAAAGGGACAATAGCAATGTCATGAAACCTTAGAAACAGAAGTACAGACACAGCGCGTGACTAGTGCAGGGTGGTGGGTGTGGTGTGATGACACCTCTGGAGGGTGTTGGTTATTGGGCCATAAAGTGTTGTAAACCAATGTTACCTCCATAAAAAGATAAAAATAAATAAAATGGTTTTTCAGTTTTAAACAGAAAATAAAAAGTACAAATTTGAGTTCTTGAGTATTAGTGAAAAGGAGAATGCCCCATGATAAAATCTACAGGAGGTGGTCAAAACTGTGCTCATTGGACATCTTTAAGTGCTTTTAAGTGCTTTTAAAATTAACAACAAAGAAGAAAAGTAAATAAATATTGATATGATTCTAAAAATAGAACTAAAAGAGCCTAAAGGGTGGATTGGCTAATACAGTCAAAATGGAAATTAATTAGATAAAAATGTAGCAAAATAGAGTTATAAAACCAAAAGCTGGTTATTTAAAGAGATGAACAATAAATTCCTGCCAGATATAACCAATAAAAAAGATTTGAAAAAACCTAGAAGTAAAAACTGGACTATAACCACAAATATGAAGAAAATTGTCAAATTTATAAAAGAATGTGATGTGTATTTGAAATCTGAATGAAGTGGACAATTTCTAGAAACATAAATGATCAAAATTAACTTGAAAAGGATTAGAAAAACATGAGCAGGTTAATGTTCATGGAAGAAACAGACATAATTATCGTGAACTAAGTCCCTAAGTCCTTTTCTGTCCCCATGGTTTTGCCTTTTCTAGAATGTCATATAAATGGACTCATACAGCATGTAGCGTGGGGGTTTGGCTTTCATTTAGCTGGGTTTTGAGAGCCTTCCTAGCTGAGTATCCCACTGTGTGAATGTGTCCTGTTTGTCCCTCCCTTGGCTGGTTGGTGGGTATCTGAGTTGTTTCCTTTGGTTTGGGGTGGGTGGTGGTGGTGCTGTTAGGAATCAAGTTGCTATAAATATTTGCGTATAAGTCTTTGTGGGCTTGGTTTCTTTCAGAAGGAAATTGCAGCCCGCCCCCTACCACCACCACAGAGTGGACAGGGGAAGATGAGAAAAGTGGAGAGCCCCAAAAGTGGAGAGCCCCAAGGTGGCGAGAGGGAGGGCCTCAGTGCTCAGGCACCTTCAGCCCTCCTGACAGTCCCAGGAGCACCCGGCTGCCAGAAAGGCAGCACCTCTCTCCCTTGACTTGTCCTTCCCACCTCCGCCCAGCCAGTTGCTCTGAACAAAGGGTCAGGGGCTGGGAGAGGAAAGCCATGTGTTTATTTCCTCACCTCCATGGTGCCGGGAAAGCTGATGTTTGTCTGAAGTGTGCTGGGTGAGCCCGCTGGTGTTATTAGTAATCGTCATCAGAATGACGTCACTTCCAGTGGCTGGTTTCCAGCATGTTCCAGCTACCACCCTTCCTATAGCCCTGAGTGTCAGGCCCTTCTGTGGATCTCTCACAGGCAAGAGGCATCTCCCACAAGAAGCAGGTGTCACCCCACTCGGCAGATGGGCAGAGTCAGCTCAGAGAGGCTGAGCCTCTGATATTAAACTGCACAGCTTCTCCTCTTGCTCCATCTAGCAAGTCCTGCCAGCCTTCCTATCCACCCTGAGGCCTGGTGCTCATCCATAAATGAAGACGAGGAACACTTAACATCCTGGAATTCTTAATAAACCAATAAACAACTGAATTTTATTTATGAACACCTGCTTTTATTTAGGATATTTGGCAAGTTAAAAATGTAACCTTTAGAGAGAATTAAAGTTCTTGTTTTCAAATGAATAAAATAGTTAAATCATTATTCACATGTGAAATTATTTCTCAGGATATTAATAACCATTTCTTTAACCATGATCTTTTCTAATCACCAAATTTTAATTGATGGAAAATTTTTTTATTAGTTTTAGTTTTAATGTCATTTTATTTTCCCCCACCTCCATCCCTTACATCACTTTGTCCCATTTCCTCTCCTCCCTCTTAACCTCAGAGCCTTCCTGGTGTTTACTGATTTTTAAAAGTGTGTTACTTTCTGAATTTTCTGCTGTGTAAATGTCCAGTATTTTATCCTTCTGACTTGCTTTACTATACATAATTCTCTCACACGCCCTCTGTTTAGTTGAAGATGGCTGCATTTCAGCCTATCTGTGGCTACATAATGCTCTATGGTGTGGCTCTATCGCATCTTCTTGATCTGGCCGTGTTCTAACCGGCTGCTTCCACGCCCTAGCTATTGTACGTAATGCTGCTTTGAAAGCAACTGAAGTTTATTTACTCACATGCAATGTGTACTCTAAGCAGGCCTGAACAAAGAACGTTACAAATATTAACTCATTTTATCCTTATAACCACCCCAATGAAGGAGTCCAATCATTATACCATTCTATAGGTCGGGAAACTGAGGCACAGTGACAGTAGGTAACTGACCCAGGGTCAGTTTAGCCAAGGTTTAGCCTCCATTTTTAGCCACTCTTTTCTGCTTCTCTTGGATCGGTTTGTTTCATTTTTCATCATTAATTTTAGCAGTTTTATTGAGGTATAATTTAAAACTCATCCATTTTAAGTGTACAATTACATTATTTCAGTAAACGTGTAGAACTGTGCAACCATTATCAGAAAATAATTTTAGAACATTTCTCCAAAAGAGATCCACCCCAAAGACTTGCAGTCACTATTTGCTTTGTCCTCCAGTCGGAGGCAACCGCTAATCAGCCCCTTCTGGAAATGTCACATAAACAGAATCACATGCAAGCGGTCTTTGGGGACTGACTGCTTTCACTTGAATGTGACATTTTGGAGGTGGATCCATGTGGCAGCACTTTGCTCCTTTTCATTCCTGCATAATACTCCACGGAGCACCTGCCCTACACTGTGTTCATCCACTCACAGCTGGGAGACTCCGGGGTTGTTTCCAGGTCTTGGCCATGCTGAATAGGGCTGCTATGAACACCTGTGTGGACACATGCTTCCCTTTCCCCTAGGGTCCTGCTGGCTAGTACGGTTAGTTTATGTTCTGCTCTTAAAAAAAAACAAACTGCAGAACTTTCCCCCCAAGGGACTGCAGCGTGTTCTGTTCCCATGCCCAGCATTTTATGAGTCTGAGAGGCCGGTTCCAAGCCCAGACAACCAGCACAAGCCTGTGGAGCCTACAGTCTGGGTGCAACATGGCCCCTCAAGGCTCCCAGTCAAGCTCAGCTTCTCCCTTGCTCCCGAGAAACCGAAGGACAAGAAGCCAGTGCTCTACTTTCCAATGAAAAAAAAAAAAAAAAAAAAAAAAAAATCACCCTCTGGGACCAAGGACACTTCTCAGGGGGACGTCAGCAAAGTGGCTATTAAGGCCGGAGGAAAAACAGAAACACATGTGAAGTCAGGAGCGCTCTTGTCAGAGGAAGAAAACCAACCTGAGGAAGAGGAGCGAGAGGGCCCGCTGCCTTGGGAGATCAGGGAGAGGGTGACGAAGACCTTCCTAGGACACCAGGATGGTGGCCAGGACAGCTCTGGGTACCGCTAAGCCTCCATTTGGTGCTACGGGTTGCTCTTGAGAGTCATTTTCGGCAAGATTTGGAGTTTCACTGTTGGATAAAGAGATGTAGCTTTTGATTCAGAGGTTTCAATATTAACGGCGGCAACGGTGAATGAGAGAATCCGACCAGCCACGCACAAGTAGCCAACAGAAGTACCCCTCCCTGCTTCCTCCTGAGGAGTCCCCTCAGGTAGGTGTGGAGCTGACAGGTAGGTCTGAGGTACTCAGAGCTCACAGGATGAGAGCTGCCTGCTCCAGCTTACTACTCAGGACCGGGGCTGACCTAGGCCCATTAATCCCTGCTCCAGCTTTATCCTGAGTGTGGCCTAAGAACTGAAATCTCTGGGCTCTTCTCAGAGGCCAGGGCATGGGCAGCAGGGCTCAGGAGTTCGCCAGGAGTGGGACGAGCATTGGTATCAGGTGTGTTCACCGTATCCCACACCTGGGGCCCATGCGCATGAGTTCAGGCTGAGTTGAACTTGAGTCCTCAGGAACCCACCAACAGCCCACCACTTAGTAGTAGTGCCCAGCTTGTCCTGGGCAGGGGTCCCCGTGTGATGAACGGGAGCGGCCAGCCCACAGGAACTCCATACAAGGACAGGATGGTCGTCCGCCTGCTTCCTCATCGGAGCCCCAGGGAAGACCCTTTCCTTGGCACTGAGGGTTGGGGACATCATAGAGCCGAGTTGGACCGGAACCTAGATCTTTTCATGCCCAGTGCCTACAGCTGACTCCTCCCCTGGGTCTGTGGTCAGCACCCCCCACCGAGGCCTCAGGGCACTGGGTGGAGCAGCTTGGAGCCCTCCGAGTTGGCCCTGAGTGGGCACACCAACACCTGACACTAAAAGGTGGCCACTTGAAGGGGCTCTGAGCAGCCAGCATTCCCCAGAGCCCCAGCAGCACTGAGGCACCTGCTCTCCAGCCACAGTCACAAGCAGGGCGCATGTTGGTAGCTCCAGCCCCTCTTCCCCAGAATATGCTCAGCTGGACATCTGGTGAGCTGAGACCTGTATGGAACTTTCCACCTCAGGTATCCTGGAGACACAACAGAGCCTCACACTGGATGTAAGTCACCACACAGAGGGTGTGACACCTCCCAACTGGCAGCTGGGCAGTCAGGCCTCGGGCCCTTTGACCCCGTCCAGTCTGCATCCGGTGAAGAGCTGGAGCCTCGGGGCAGCCCCCGGAGCACCCCAGGCTGGAGTCAGACACTTCCACAGACACGTCAAGGGAAGCCAGACCTGACAACGGAAGACCCTCTGCAGCGGGGCCCACACAGGCCTGGCCAGGGCGGGCACCAGGATGGGGGTTTCCCAGAGAACTGGCTGGAGTCCTGGCTTCCTGGGAGGAAGTGAGATGGGAGGGGGGGACCCCAACCCAGACGGTGCCTCCTGTCCACACGCTCACAAGGGCCTCAGAACAAACAAGCGCCGCTGTTACAAATGAAAGCTGGGTTGGCCTTCCCTGGGGACTCCCGGCTCGTGTTGGCAGAGCGGTCCTTCTCTAGATGGCCCACTGCTTGTGCGCGGAGCCGAGGCCCCAGGCCTACCTTCAGCTACAAGACTCCAGGCCAAGTGTGGGGGAGGCTGGTGCACTTGGAATGCCTCCTGGCCCGTTTCTCCTCCAGCGGCTGTTGGCTTGCAGACCCCCGTGTGTCGGACCCTCTGGCCCCAGACACGAAGCTGCATCTGAGAACCGGGGCCTGCAGGGGTTGGAGGCAGGCGGCTGTCTGGCGTCGGAGCTGAAGGGGCACAGGGCCAGACAGCGTCTAGCCTGGTTCCCACTCCATCCTCTCCACCAAGGCGATGGGAGGTCTGGAGAAGGGAAGGCTCCTTTTCCCAAACAGCCCTGGATGAGAGGTTACTGACCGGTGACCCACACAGGGCCTGGCCCACTGTGTGGTTCCCCAGGGGACTCCTCCCCTTGCACTAGCCCACCCCATCAAGCAGCAGCCTGGCAGAGACTCAGAAGAGCCTGGGGTGCTTCAAGGGCAGCTCCACTTGTTGAGCTGTGGAAGATCCCCCCACATTGTACCCTGTAGCCTAGGCACAAAATAGAAAGCCAGCAGCAAAGGCTGGAATGAGTCACTGGCAAACTTTATTGGAAGTCTGGGCATCACTGATTGGCCAGTAGGTCACAGACTTGTGGGTCCAGCATCTGACTGGGGACGCGCAGGTCCTCACTGAGGTGTCTGGAGGACGCCAGGCTGCTGAGCTGGAACCAGCACCAGGGTGGAGGGTCCCCAGGTCACCTGGCTGCACCTCTGTTCCTATGTCACACACTGGGGCGTGGGGTCAGAAGCAGGGAGGGAGGGGCAGAGGGGGCTGGGTGGGGGAGGCATCTGCTTCGGGTTGCAGGGTGTGGATGGGGTGGGGTGTGAGGGAAACGCACACAGGTGCTGGGCTGGGGCCGGGCAGTCAGCTCAGAGCCCTGGGAAGGGGGCCCTGGGAGCCCGGGGAAGGCAGAGGGAAGAAGCATCTCTCTCCTCTCTCTCTGGCCCAGGGGAGGGGCCTGCTGGGACTGGATGCAGCTGACCAGGGGCTGGTGAGCCCAGGGCAGACGAGGGGCTCCCAACCTCTGTGGGCAGCAAACAGCCCATGTGGGTCAGGAGGGTTCTCTCGGGGTTGGCCCAGGGTCCTATTCCCCAGCAAACCCCTCTCCAGAGCCTGTCAAGGAGGACGAGCCAAAGGACAACATGGTTCTATTTCATTAAAAACATGGTTTGTTTCCTTAAACACCAGCTCTGAATGTGAGGACTGCAGCAGACACACAAACAAAGCCTTTGCTCCAACAAGCCTCCTGCAATCACTGCGGCGTTCCTGAGCACCATGCTGCCCTGGACTGCGCGCTGGGGCGCGGGGTCCGGAGGCGTCTAAGGCACAGGGCTCCTGCTCCCTGGAAGGCAGCGCCCACTGGTGAAAGGCCGGTGAGCATGTCCAGACCTGGAGGACAGGACAGCTCCCACCCTGGACAGGTGGGCCCTCAGGCAGCACCTGGAGAGATGTGGCCTCACCCCCGTGGGACCCCCGGCCTGTGGAGCTCTGGAGGATGCCGTGACACACTCTGCCAGAGCTGCAAGGGTGGACGTGGGGTGCAAGGCCAGAAGCCCAAGGCAGCCATGGCTGACCGGGCGTTTCCTGGGAATGTGGGGGCAGACCGGGCTTGCCAGGCCATCTGCACCCACCCGGAGGGCTGGGCTGGATGGATCCCTTGAGCTGGGACACGTGGGTAAGCACCCTGCATAGGTAACTATTGGTGGTTCAAGGTGACCCCAACTCAGCCAGGCTCTCCTGGGCACCCACTCAGCATCCCTGTGCTGGGGACCCTCCCAGAGCTTGCAGGTCCCCAGGAGCCCTGCTGCCAGAGATTCCTAGAAGCTTGACAAAGGGAACCCCCACGCCCCAGCCTAGGTCAGCCAAGCCCTCCTTCCTGCATGGGGGGTGGGCAGAGCCGTGGGCATGGGTAGGCACAAAGTTTTCCTGCTCGAGTACAGCACCCCAGCCTCACTCCATCCCTGGGTTGGCGAGGCCTCCCCACGAATAGCCTCCCCTCCACATCCATGTGGCTGAGATAATTTGGGCTCCAATTCCTATGGTGACCTTGTTCTTTGTACCCTGCAGGGTTCCATGACCCCACAGGCCAGGAGAAAAAGCAACAAGGCGGTACAGGGTCCTATGGTTGGGGGGCTTCCACCCCTCTCCCACCCCCTGATGGGTGTCAAGGCCATTGCAAAGGTGGAGGTTCAGAAGAGGCTGGGGGCTGCCTGGTCAGGTGCATCATGGTCCCGGATATACTGCAAGATGTCCATCTCGTCCATGGCCTGGATCTGCTGCTGCTGCTTGGCTTCAGCTTTGGATGGGGCCGCTGTGGGGGGAACCACTGGCTTTCTGGGGAGCGCTGGCTTAGCTGCCACTGGTGGCTTGGACCTGGCCTGGGGCTTGGGCCGTTGTTGGGGCTCAGACCCTAGGTTCAGAATCTGGTCCAAGTCCTCTTCAACTCTAGGAAACAGATGAGAGGCCCTGAGCACAACCTTCCACAAAAGGAACAAGGTTTCCAGACAATGGCACCCCTATTTGGGCACTGGGCCTGGGTTTCAGCCCCTCACTCTGGCTTCTCACCCTAGACAGCCCCAACCTGTCCCTTCCACCAGCTGAAGGGCAGGATTCTCCTCCCCTGCACCCCCACAGCTCAGCAGGACCAGAGCCGGCACCTCAGCAGACTCCAAAGAGCTGTTTTTCAGGTGGCCCCACCTAGACACACTGGTCTCTTCAGGTAATCTTTCCTGCAAACCCTCAAGAAACAATGGAACAGTGACCAGATGCTCCCATTTAGACACATTATCTTGTCTTTATCCCCAGATAGGCCTCTGGGGAGGACGGCTGAACCTCCCTGCAGATGAAGTGCCCTGGGCGCCAGGGAGCCCAGAGACCTGGGTGAGATAACAGCAGGTGACCGGGCCTGGACCAGAACCAGCATGTCTGACTTCAGAGGCCGTGCCCTTGCGTAGACTACATTCACGTCGACACAGAACAAAGACGTGCCTGTCTGTGAGCCACAGGGCACTAGACCGAGTCTCCCAAGGCCCGAGCTCAGCCATGGCCCACGAGTGGGTGTGACGGATGCTGTGTGCTGGTCACCAGCGACTGGTCCCAGGGACTGGATGGCAGGAATTAAGGCAGGCCACAGCCAGCTCTTCCTGCTTCCTGAGGAGCTCCGGTTGCCAGATATTGGTGTCAGAACTCAATTCCGGGGAGCCAGCTGCCTGCTGGGGCTGGGGATGCCTGGCTCTCGTGTGCCCCAGCTGCCTCCAAGCTGCAGCCCTCTCTCTCGAGTGCCCTGAGGTAGGTGCTTCTCCCCCTGCATCCTTGCCTGGAGGCTGGTGCCCTGGGCAAGCTGAGCAGGAGGACCGAATTATCCATAAATGGGTGCGTAGGGAACAAAAACAGCAGTGGACAGCACGCGGCTGGATGCAGGATGTGCACTGCTTGGCAAAGTGTGGCTCATGGAGTACGTCAGAAGCTGGATTTGCCCTGAGGTGGAAGGTGAGGACCAGCCAGGTGGGGGCAGTGGCTCTTAGGGCCCAGGGCCACATGACACCCTCCCCAAGCATCCTGTTTCATTGGGGGTCCTGAGTCATGGCAAGGTATTCCCACCAATGCACAGTCCAGTTCCCCTTTCTTGCAGGCCTCACTGGTGGGAGCTCAGCCACGGAAAGCCTGGACAGAGCCATGAAGCCCTCAGTCCTGCTTCTCCTCCCAGATCCTGCAGAGGACTGGGCTTGGATCACGACCAAATCTGGAGGCCCCCTAATAGGCTGGCCGCACAGCAAGAGGGACCTGCAGACCTGCCAGGCACCACCTACCGTGGCCTGGCCTGGGGGCGCGGACGAGATGAGCAGACAGGGAAAGCAGCAGGGAGCGGAGTCAGGGAGGAATGAATGAATGAATACTAGGGCCACCTTAGTGTAAAGAAGCCCAACTACTGCCTGGAGAGTCACAGCGCAGATGTGAGGAAGAATCAAGAATCAAGAATCAAGAATCAAGCTCCCTCCTTTAATACTGATGACCGTCAGGTGAGCAGGCGCAGGGGTCACCTCTGGGCAGTGCCTCCCCAGCCTGCGATGCTCCCAGCCTTGCAAAGGAAGGCTGGGGCTAGGTGGAAAGTGAAGCACTTCCTGGTGTTCTCCAGAGCCACGAGCATGCAGGCTGGCAGACTGAGGGCTTGCAGAGCCCATTAACAGCTGCCCGAACACAGACCCGTCTGAAGGTCACACCTGTGAACACCCCCTGTTCTGCAGGACATGGGCTGGAAAGTGCCGGCTGATGGACTTAAGAGAAAGGTCCCCTTGGAACTGCCCCCACTGGGACACCGGGTCCTGGAGCCACAGAGGCTCCCTGGGCGGGGGACATGCTCACAGGGGCCGACTCCAGCACTTGCTTCCTGGGCCTCAGTTTCTCCCCTAATGACATAACCACAATGCCAGCTTCTCCCAGCCTGCCAGGATGTCAGGGAATGAACAGATGCCAAGGGCCTCGGGGAGATGTAAAGACAAGAAGCCGAGCTGTGACTCAGGCGTGGAGGGCTGTCTAACAGCCCGTGCCTGCTAATGAGGGTGCAGATGACGGCTCCTGGGACCCGGGGCCCTGGCGCCACCTAACTGCTCTCGGAACGACACAGCTCAGCTTCCTGTAAATCACCACGCACATCTGCCTCCAGGATTGCGGTGGGTAGAGGTGGACACGGAGAGACACACAGTGCCTAGCAGCCCAGGAAGGCAGCCGGCATGGGCGGGACTCCCTCCCCCCACCCCCTCCCACCCCAAGAGCCCTCACAGCCTCTCCTCCAAGGAGATAAATGCACCTGCTGCTGCGAAGATTCAATAAGGGGACGTGGGAGGTGCCCAGCGTTCTCTGACCCAGGCCCACACTCCAAGCCCTGGACATGGGCTCGGCATGAGTTCTGTCAATCCACCTCAGAGCCAGCCGGCAGATCCGGGGAGCTGCACGCTACCAAGAGGCGGTTTTATTTGTTCCCAAACCTGTTTATACCAGTGATATTAGCTTTTGCAATTATATAACTTTTACTTTTTATCAACTACCAAAATACAGGTGTGAAAAGGAAGACTTCCATGCACGCAGCGCTCTCGTCAGGAACATGCTGGGCTGCCCTGGGAGCTGACCCTGCGGCCACCCTGAATCACTGCTCCCTGGCAGCTCCCACCACAGGTCCCAGCCTTTGATGGGAGGATTCCCCTGCTCAAAAGCCCCCACGCTGGGACAGGACCTGGCCCTGTCCAGGCCACTCAGAGCTGGCGAAGACGGCGGGGGATGGCGGTACCTGAACAACTCCTCGGAAGTCTCCCTGCGGCCCAGGGGGGAGGTGGGTCCTCCACACTCTCGGGTAGCCGGCAGCAGTAAGGGGTCACCGAGGAGGACAGCCCCACCGAGGTCAGGGTCATCAAACAACTTCAGGGCTGCAGAGAAGAGAGCAGCAAAGTGGTCAGGGAGTGTCCTGGCGCGTCCTGGCGCGTCTCAGCTGCTGGGTGTGTGGAGACCGCCTGCCCTGGCACGGAGTGAGCGAGGGCCCGACAGCACGCAGGGGAGTGGAGCAGCAGTGGAGGATGGCAGGGACAGGCGCCATCGCTGGGCACACCCGTCCACGCCCCCCTCAGTGCCAGCCAGGCCAGAGTCGGCCGAGTCCACTCCCCAGCCAAGTCCTTGCTGCCTTCCCTTGCTTCGAGGCGGAAATTGCCTCTTCAGCTCACTGTGCCAGGCCCCCCAGGCCCCAGGGTAGCTGGATCTTGTAGCTCAGGCTCCAGTCTCTCAACAAGCACTCAACAATTGCCACCTGGCTCTGCTGCCTGCCAGGCTGTGGAGCTGAGTGGACACTTCTGGCCGTGGCCCCTGCCTTCAAGAAGCCCAGGCCTACACCCCACCCTCTCCAGAGCACAGTGCGGACCCAGCTCCCACCCTGGACGTCTTCCCTGACGCCTGACGTTCTCCCCAGGCCCCTTCCAGACTCAGGCTGTCCTGCCATGGTCAGGTGGCCTGGCTCCCTGGGAGGCCTGGGGCCGGGACGGTCTCATCCATGAGCTGTGGACCAGCATGCTGGCTGCCCTGCATGGAGCCCAGCCCTCGGTGCTCACCAAACGGTGGTGGAATAATGGGTGACACCAATTTCCTGCCCTGGGTGGGGTGAGGAAAGTTGAGGCCCTGGGATGAGGCTGCTCATTCTCCCTTTTCCAGGTCTGCACAGGGCCTCTGCTGGGGTATGCATGGGTCTTGTTCACCCGTTACCCGGCAGGGTCACAGTCCCGGGCAGGGAAGCATCTCCACCTGCGCCCACCTCTAGCCACCGATGTAACAGGCATGTTTATACCAGTCACAACCCACACTTCTCAAAGCAAAAAGGAAACCGCCCTCCTCTTCCAAGGCATGGGTAGAATAAATGTATAGTCCTGGAATGTTCCAGGCTGTGGGACACAGGTGCCAGACTAGACTCCTCCAGCAGAAAATTTCCATCAGCCAAACCTATGTCACGGTGAACCAGAGAAAGGGTGGACTCCCGCCTTGCTCACATGTCTTGGGGGGGTGGTCCAAAGACCCCACAGAGGTCAGCTGAGCACCGGACTGAATACGGAGTTGGTACAACAGGAACACCCCGGGGCTCTACTTACAGTCCCTGGGGAACTTGTCCTCTGCAGGGCCCTGAGGGGACAGCTTCCTGCTCGGGCCAAACAGGGCCTCGTCCGGGTCCCCCTCCTCATCAAAGATGGTGAGCCGGGGCGAGGGCCTGGCCTTCGGGGCCACTTCAGGGAGTTTCTTGGGCTTCTTGGAGCTGGAGAATTGCAGATGAAGCACAGGGTTAGGCTTCGTATGAGCGCCCCACTGGCAGTCCCGAGAGACCCACACAGGCACCAGGTGAGCTGGAGCCTATGCTAAGAAACTTTTCAAGGACCCAATTTCCCCCATGAGGCCGCTTTCCCGGAGTGGGGTAGCCCTCATCTTTCTAGAAAATATTTCAGTTCCTCCTCTGGGAAGCCCCTCTGGTACTCAGAGTCCCACTGGGCCAGCAGCCCGAAGGGCCCCTTGTGTCTCATTCAACGCCAGGCTGAGGTCTGCTGGCCCAGTCACTGCCGCAGGAAACCGGGAGGGGGCAGTTTCTCTGGCCCTCGGAGCACCTTATTACCTGTTTCCAGGGTGCACACCCTACAATTCATGGAGCAGGAGATGTGCCCCCCCGCCCCCCGCCCTGTAAGTTCTACCACGTCAGTAAATGAGTAAATCTGGCTTGTGTCTAACAAGGTGATCCAGTCCCTGCTGTGGTGCCTAAATTACTCATTTTCAGGTTCCTAAAATAAGAAGTCTGCATTTTACTGGAAAGGGAATTTCCGCCATGCTGGGATCCTCTGGCTGGGGCAACTCCGCTGGGCCCAGCTCACTGTCAACTACCGGGAAGCTGCGCCCAGGAGGCTGGTGCTGCCTAAACTGCCTGACCAGCAGCAGATAAAAATAGCAGCCGGGCGGCCCTGGGGGTGGGCGGCAGGACACACAGAGGTGACCATTCCCACGGCTTGGATTTGGAAGTCTGGTGGGATTTCAGGCTCTGAACAGAGACAGGAAGAAGCTGTGAAGGCCTGGGCACACCTGGGAGGAAGAAGCCCTGGAGGGCGGATCTTCGTGGGGGAAACCGTGGTTCAGAGAGGCTGGGCAGGCAGGGTGGGGCTGTCAGGTCCACGGTCCTCTGTCCTCGCCCGCTCAAGGTGTCCTTGAGCTGGAAGATGTAGGATGGTGTGGGGACAGGCCCCGATCCTGCTGACTCCAGAAGGAGACACACCTCAAAGGTGGAGGTGGACAGCAGGCTCAGTGCTGGGGTGGGACCAGATTGCCTGCCCGCTGCTCCCTCTCCATCCTGAGCACCAGCTGGACGGGCTCACAGGCCACCAGGGACCTGTGTCTCCTGTGGCACCATCCTCGGGCCCCGCCTATGGTGCTAGGCATGGGGAAAGAAGCCTGGACTCCATCCTAACAGCAAAGGCATTCCAGAAACTTCAGCTACACCTCTGCCCACTCATGGAGGAGACAGGGTGGCTCTCTCTTACTGGGCCTTCCCCCTCTTGTTTCACTGAGCAGACAGCCAGTTCAGCTCCAAGGACCCCGAGGAGGTGGATACCAGAGACAGGCCAGGACCCTGGTTGTAGGCAACTGAGTCACAGTCAGGGCGGGGAGGGGAGAAAAGGATGGGAGACACTGCACGCCCCGAGGGCTCGGTCCCCTGCTGCCCTCAATCACTCATGGCAGCCACACTCCTGGGGCTGGCAGCGCAGGCAGGGGCTGCAGCAGTGAGGAGTGGAGAGCCCCCACCCACGCCTGCCCGGGGTAGACAGGGAGGGAAGGGCACAGGCTACTCTGCAGCCAATGCCCACAGGTCCGGGTGGCTCAGCAACAGCGGGCCAGAGATAGCTCCCAGGCGAGCGGCTTCCAGGGCCCAGCCATCAGAGCAAGCACAGAGAACAGGGGATCGGTTGAAGAACAAAGCACAAAAAGGGAACAGATGCGAAGCTCTACAGAGAGGCACAGAGAGTTCAAGGATTTCCTTTCTTACACCTAGTTCTGGTTCCGAGAGCACAAATCAGGCCTGACTTTCCTTCTATGCGGGGTTTCCTCTCCAACTGGATGAATGTTCTTGTTTTTCCTCCCTGGAGAACATGCTGATCTTTTGTTGTCTTGAACTGAAACGGAGTGAATCTGTGGCCCCTGGGGCTGCAAACCAGGCAGCATCTGTGCCTGACCCCATTCTCTGGCTCTCCCTGACCTGCCTTCAAGGGGAAGCACCGAAAAGGCAGGAAGTATGGAGCTTTGGTGCTTGAAATTTCAGGGGCCTGTTCGCATTAGCCCCCAGACTTAGTCTCTAGGATTCGGCAGTGCGCCTGGTCCAGAGCACACGGCCATGCATATCAGGTTAAAGGATGGATACGTGGGTGGGTAGGTGGGTGGGTGAATGGCTGGCTGGCTGGCACGTGGGTGGGTAGGTGGGTGGATGCTGAAAGTCTGATTGGCTGGATGGCGGGAGCAAAGAAGGAAAGGGGAACGAAGGGCAGAGGACACAGCGACGGCCCTCACATCTTAACATCAGTCACAAATCATCTTAAATGCCGACTTATTCCTACCTACTGCCCGGGGAGGAGAGTCAGGGAGTGAAGACAGAGGGTCTCTGGCTTCAGTCTGGAACAGAGACCCCCATGCAGAAAGTCCCCCAGCCCTGCTGCTCCTCCTCCAAAGACCTCTCAGTCTACTCAAGGGGTCTTTCTAGCCCTCACCCCGTTATCTACTCTGCAAGCAACTCATCCATTTACTCTGCGTTCTTTCATCACCCCGGGTTCACCTCCCACCTCCCGGAACCCGGGCCGGGTGGTAAGGGCGCAGAGAGGAGGAAGGCCTGCCTCTGTGCCCAGCTCACGGCCCAGGAGAGTCACAGGCCAGGCACCGTCATCACCAACTGGCAGTAATTCCTGACAGCTGGGGCAGAGCAGGAGCCGGCCCAGCCCAAGGGCTTCCGAGAGAGGTGGGCGGCAACCTTGGTCTGCAGGGAAGAATGTCTCAGGCAGAGGGGCCAAGAGACCCTCATCCTGGGAGGGCCTGCAGGGGGCATGGGGAACCCAGCTGACTCTGGATGACGAGCAACCCCACGGCAGAGGCAGAACTTGAGGTACAGGGAACTGGGTCCCCCCAGAAGCTGTGCTCGTGATCCAAGGATAAATGAAACGGGCCTGGGCTGGGGGCGCAGAGGAGGGCGGGCAGGCACAACCAGGGAGAAGAACAGAGGCAAAGGCGCTCACACAGCTGGGCTGCTGCGGGGATGAGCGGGCCGCCCTCCAGCACCCAGGGCGGTGCAGATCCTGACTAAGGCGGGGTCAGGCGTCGCATGCATGAGGTGGTCACTCAGTCTCCGAGCCCGGCCTCGTCCTCTCTCGTTGGTCAGGCATGGACTCAGCTGCGCACATGGGCTGTGGGCCCCACACCCTCTGTCCCCCCAGCTCCTCCTCCCCCAGTGTCCACCTGCTGCCTGCAGGACACCCCGTCCAGCCCACCCTGCGCACGGGCAGAGCCCTTCATGACACTCTGCGGGGCACCCTCTCCTCCCTTCAGGGAGCACAGTGTGCTTGACTCTGGCCGCCGGGGTTGGGAAAACTGGCATCACGGCGGAGCTTGAGCGCCTGACTTCACGGGCATCACGGGGAGGGCAGGGTCTCAGTGGCACAGGCTTGTTGAGGGTGGGATGCTCTGGGAGCTGAAGGCGTGGAAGCGCGTTTCCGTAGCACGCACGTGTGCATGGACAGACTCCGGCTTCCCACCGGGAGTGCCTGTCAGGAGACAGCTGGCTGGCCAGGCCCCTGTACCGGCGGGCAGTACAGCCGTGAGAGGTGCCAATGCTGTGCCGACAGCCCTGTGCTCAGGCGGCTCCATGACATGACTGACACGTGAGCATGGCTTTCTTTTGGCCAGCCAGGGCCATGTCCAGGCTCCTAGATGCGGGGCTGACCACAATGGGCACCACCAGCCCAGCGTCCAGGTGCACAGGAACCACAGAGCCATGTCTGGGACTAAATCGATGATGGTGGAGCCTCCAAAGTTGAGACTCCACAATCACGTGACCACCGCCCTCACAGCCAGGGTGACTCCTAACCAAACCTGAACATAAAGCTCCTTCCCGTCACGTGAGCGTCCTGCTTTAAAGTGCTGCTCATTGCCACTGTGGCCGCAGGGGCCCAGCACAGAGACATGACTTCAGAGGTGCTGGCTGCACCCGTGGGGGCGCCTGAGCACTCACAAAGCATGAGCTCCAGCCGAGAATGCGCCGAGGTGGGAGAGTCTGGCATCGACTGACCATAAAGGTCTCACCAGCTGGGCCCCGGGAGGGGGCCCAAGAGGAAGTCAGGGTGCATCCCCAGGGCCTCTGCCGCCCCAAGGAGGATGAAGGGCAATTTCGCTTCTCTGAATCTGCTTCCTTATATGTTAAAGTGCAGTCAGGAGGCAACGCCACAGGATCGCTCTAGGTAGCTGGGGTGCATGTCACCATGAGGCACAGGCCTGTGACCAAGGTGCCACTCAGTGATGTCCAGGTTCACGATCTGTTTTGACCCAAATGACTTCATTTTGGGCCCTAAAAAGTAATGGGGGCCCATCACGCCTGTGGTCCCAGGACTACATCAAGGACCTGTCTCTCAACAGTCCAGGCACTGGGCCCACCACCAGGGACCAGGATCTCAGCGACCCCCTCCCCTCTCAGGTGGTAGGTGACGACGTTTCTTCACTTCTACACAGAGGCCAAATGCTGCCTGTCATCTGCATGATACCAGCAGCACCCCGAGTCCAGGGAAAACACCTGGAGACACCCACAAAGCCCCTAGAGACGGAGCTCAAGGGCATGGCCAGACCAGATATGAACTGCAGCTCTGCCCTGCAGCCTGCAGCAACCAGCCCAGGACACAGACCAGCTCCTCTAGCGTCACGGCCAGGGCCAGGGCCGGGCCAGTAGCTTCCCTAAGGACCCTGCTTCCTGTTCCCCATGGAGCAGCACAGCCAGAGGAAGCTGAATGCACTCCCCAGCCAATCTCAGGGGCCACAGGACGCCATGCTTCTAGCTAGCAGCTCCGGCTTCCAGCCGGGATGCCTCGAGTCTTCCCTATTCCACCGAAACCTTTCCTGCTCACTGAACTGCCTTCTGAGTCTTCTCCAAACGCAGGTCATGGCGGCTGCCCCCCACCTCCATTGCTAAGGCCTTTGCTGGTTCTCAGTTGGGTGACCTTGGTGGTCTGCAGTTGGGTACTGAGGTGCTAAGAAGGTTACCCGGTGGCCCTAGCTGCCAAGCGGCAGAAGTGACATCTGAACTTGGGTCTTCTTGCCTGCCTCTAACCCCACTCTGGGGTGAGCATGCGCCCCAGTTTTCAGGCTTTCCCAGTGGCTTTCAAGCTATGTTCTGAGAGGCCCTGACCTTCTGCTAAGCTGCTCAGGTCACCTGAGGTGGGCTGTGAGGGGTCGAGATCCTGTCCCCCAGCCTATCCCCCACCAGGTCAATTCTACTTTGATCTGCTTAAATGTCAGGGTTTGAGGTGAGAATTCTCTTGAACCAAAGATTCTGCTACTGATTTTAAAAAGTGGGATGCATGATTATACCCGCTGTCCCTGAGGGTCCATTCACTCGGGCCCACTGGCACAGACACTGGTCGGCCCATGTGCAGCTGTGTCATCCCAAGGGCCGCTGCTGCTGTGTTCCTGTGACAGCTGCAGGCATGATGGAGGGCAGCTTTCAAAACCATGGTGCCATCCCAGAGCTGTGATTTCAGCCAAATATAGGGAGTAAAATACCTTTATCCTAAAACACACAGGGTTACTTTAAGGAAGATAAAGCAACATTTGTATGAATACTTATGAGAAAACACAGCATTCCAAAGAAATGTTTGGCTTCACTCAAAGTGAGAGTTCGTGCCCTGGGCACGGGTGTCCCCCTCCCCTGGAAGGAATGTGGGGAGCCACGCCTCCCAGGAGCCAGATGGCCCTTCCATGCCTGTCCCTCAGGAAGCTGAGGGTCCCCAGCACTCGGGGGCTCCCTGGGCTCTGGGGGAGGAGCGGGGAGGCGGTGGGCTTTGTGGGTCGGCAGGTGTGGGGGCAGTAGGGAGGCCTTACCAGCAAAGGGGACTAAGGCCCTTAATAACTTTCATAACTTAACACCCGCCCCCCTTCTTCTGTGACCTGCACTGGGGAAAAGCTCCACCCACGGAGAGGTTCCGCACTACCTGGAACCGCAAAGACCTACGGAAAACACAAGCAGGGGCCTGGCAAGGCAACTTGCAGCACCGACTGGATGGACCAGCGCAGAGTGAGAATTTAGACACCGACTGTCAACCAGGAAAGGCCCAGAACTTAAGCTCAAAAAAGCAAATTACGGAATGGCACGTGTCACATAAACTCATTGTGGCAGAAAATATGACTATCCAGAAGCGCGCATGGCAAAAGAACTTGTCACTGTTTCCAATTTTTCTGTACTCGTTGTCTATTATCAGAATTAAACATTAATTAAATTAAAATGTTTCCAGTGTAAGGCAGAACTATTCTGGCAGAACTTCATCCTTCTCAGAACTCTGCGGTCTCTACAATAGACAGTTAAAGATGAAAGCTCCGCAGGGCAGGAGCGTGATGGAGAGAGGGCAGTGAGCAAAAACCCACAAGAAGGCAAGTGCCCGACGGTGGGCCTGTGGATCCCGTGGGGCCGGGAGCACCGACCCCGGCCAGCAGTGGGCGGCAGTGTCAGGAAGGACCTGTGTGGGCCATTTCTGCCTCTACTGCTCCCTGAAGGTGTAGGGCCCCGTCTCGCCCCTAATCAAAACCATGTTTAAGAGACAAAGAAAAGCCAGGCCAGCCTCTGCTCGGGCTTTGTGCTGGTGCAGCCAGCCTCCTGCCGCCCTGCAGTGGGGCAACAGCGCCCCACCGTGGCCGCGGCAGGAAGGACTGGCCCGGAAGGGTGGCGGCCAGGGAGGGCCAGAGGCAGTGGGGGTGGGGTGCAGGACACCTCTGGGAGAATGGCTCAGCGGCCGCCTCTGCAGAGGAACTGAGGGCACAACACGGAGAAACATGCATGCGAAGTGCACGTCACCTGCAAAGAACAGAATGTTCCCCAGCAGAACGCGAAGTGGGCAGCTCTGCACAGGGACATCAGCCGGCCCCATGGATGTCTCTGGAGGGTGATCCAGGCAGGGCTCTGCCACATCAGGCTCAGTCTCCCCATCTGTGAAAGGGGGATAATCCTAGGGCCCTGCACACCTCCCAGCCTGGCATGGGGGAGATTGCATCTGACAGCCGTGGCTGTGAGACGTGGCTGAACCCCGCCAACGCCAGCTCCTCTTAACACAAACAAGCAGCAGCCAGCGCCGGCTCCCTGGGGGCACCATCTCCCAGGCCAGACCCACAGTGGATCCTGAAAGCAATTTGGTGGGTAAGGACCTTTTTTTTTTTTTTTCCGAATGACAGAACAGAAAATAGCAGAGCTGAATACACCCACATGCTAATCAGTTCCTGACATTTAATAATCTCTCAAAATGTGTGGTTATTATCCCTGATGGAGCGACAGCACTGCTGTCACACTGGTCATTAAAGGGAAACTGTCAGGTCTTAGCGCCTCTGGCGTCCCTTTGAGGTGCTACGTTTTCCTCCAATTTGGGAACGAGGCTGCTGACTGATGGGGACATCACTGAGGGGTGGTCGGTCCGGGATGGCTGACCGTCCCTGACAATGTACTACTGGAATCAGGCAGAAATTCAAAGCAGCCCTTGCCAACTCCAAAGAGCATTTTCCTACCCAAAAAAGGAACCGTACTGCTAAGCATGTCCTGCAGCCAAAGGCTGGCACAAACCACCAAGCCCATCTCAGTCTGGCACTGCTCAAAGCGTGTGGTTACTCAGAACAACAGTGACTTCGAGCTCAAATAAGCCTTATCCTTACCAAAATAAAGCCAAGAAGGACTGCAGAGCTGCGTGCAGCCGATAAGGACCAACTACTGCAGCCTTCTCCTGACTTAACCTCCCTCTGGCCACTGACCCCCTCCAGGACACGGCTGGCTGGAATGCCAGGGGCCTGGCTCAGGGCATTAGGGTGCTGCCGGCCTCAGGCTCCTGTCCTCTCCTCCAGAGCACCCAGAGCCCTGCCTGGATGCTCATCGCTTCCAGGTGGGTCTCATGACCTCCCTGCAGCCGCCTGCCCCACGACGTGCCTGCTTTCATGCACCCCAGCGGGAGAGGAAGGCTGGCTGGCGGGCAGTGCTTTTGGGACTGAACCTTTCATGGTGCTTTTCTTGAACCTTCCCCTTCCTGATTTCCAATCAGCTCTGGTTCCTTGCTGGAATGGGGCCTATCAGGCAGGCCTCCCTCATCTGTTGACTGAAGTTGAGTGTCCTGAGTTTGTGCTGATCCTGCACAGGTGGCGGAGCGTGAAGAGGAGCTCATCTTCCTAGCGCTGACCCTCACATCACAGACAGGCCCTACCACTACCCTATTTTTGTTGCAGAAAACTGAAGTAAAAGGGCACATTTCCAGGGACCCATGGCTGGTAAAGGTCAAAGCCAGGCCAGGCTGTCTGGTTCCACAGTCCAGGACCCTGAGCTGGAACCCCAGCACCATTGTTGACCACTGCCTGACCCTGGGAATGGCACTTGGCTCTGCAGGCTGCAGTTTCCTTAGTCTGTGAAATGGGGTCATAACAGCTGCCTATAGGGCAGGTGTGCTAAATACACCTAGAATTAGTTCCCACCTGGTCTCCTGCAATATGTCAGGGTGAAAGGCGGGCCGCCCCAGGGGGTGCCTGAGTCACTTGCCTATGATTATTTTGAAACGGAAGAAATTGAGACACAGAAGATCCAAGAATGTGCTTTTTTGCCTAAAAAGAGAAGTAAATCTTCTCTGTGGTAGTTCTGAAGATAAGAGTCTGCCTTCTCACCTCAGAACAGGGCTTGCAAGGTCTGTGTCCATGCATAGGCAGGTGAACCCTGCAAAATTCTTACTTCTTTAATTGCAAGGTTTTTGTTGCTTCACCCCTACCCGCTGCACTCACAGGCCCCTTTCCAGAGACGATCCAACCTCCCTGGCATGACCAGACCCCAGAATCCATTATTTACGAAATTTTGTCTTTTCTCACATGTCTATTTAGTTATTTTCTGGCCTATGGACCTAGAAGGGCAGAGGAAGATTAGCTTCCTCCAAGCACATGTCTGGATCAGGCAGCAGCAGTGAGAGCCCGGGGGCTGGTGGCCTGGGTGGGGTTCCTACAGACCCCTCGGCCTGTGCCTAGCTGAGGGTCTTGGGCAGGCGTGTGGTTGTCATGTCTCAACCCCAGACACAGGGTGTTCATGCAGCGGGCGGTCAGGAGCCCCCTGAAGGCAGAGGTCAGGAAAGAGGAAGGAACGAGTTTACAGAAGAGGGACACCAGAGGGGACCAAGGCCACAGCTGGCTGGCCAGTTGTGTGTGTAGGTGTGTGCCCACGTGTGGAAAGGGAACCCGTCCAGTGTCCCAGGGCTCACTTTACCTCTCTGGACCTCATGGGTCACCAGTCCTTTGCTCCCACGTGCCGCCTCAGGAGGCAGGTCAAGGAAACCCCCGCTTTGCAGACCGTGACAGGACCAGGGAACGCCAGTCACAGTCCCAAGTCAAAGGCTGGCAGTGATGAGCTCCCTGGAGAACCCAGGCCCCTTGGGTGGGCAGGGAGGGTTCAGGTGGCCTGGGCTGCGAAACTGTGGGAGAGGGCTGCAGCCTGCAAAGTCTCAGTGAAGAGAGGGGGCGGCAGGGCCATACCCCATGACTGTGACAGGGCAGGCCACACTGGAGCCCAGTTCCAAAGGCACGGGCGATGTCGAGGATGAGCAGATCAGCCCCCAGCACAGCAGGCCACAAGGGTGAGGACCTGGGGAGACGGGTTCTCTCAGACACTGGGAAGGCAGGAGCCTGGGACAAGCCTGAAGGGTCCTCGCCGGGATGGGGAGACCTACCGCATGATGCCCAGCGGGTCCAGCACTTCCTCCTCTTCCTCTTCTGACTGCCCTGCATCCTCCATCTTCAGGCCCAGGATGTGCGGGCCCTCACCCTCCACTTGATCCTGCTGCTCAAAGAAGCTGAAAGCCTCCCCGTCATCCCCTGCCTGGCTGTCTGCATCCAAGACAGAGAAGTCTCTGCCGATGAGATCTGCAGCCCCTGAGGATCTGGTGCCTGTGGAAACAGGAGAGAGGCCCTGACACCCACCGCCACGGGACCTGGAGGTACCACACAAGCTCCGTGCTAGGACCTGAGGCTTCTTGCAGCACTGTGGACCAGGACAGCGGGTCTGGGTAAGTGGGGGCATCCTGGGCTCCACGTCCTGCTGCAGCCCCAAGGGCTGTCTGGCACCTGGGAAGGCCAACGTGGGGGAGTTACAAGTGGAAGCTTTAGAGCAAGACAGGGGTAGTGCTTCCTGAAGCCTGTGGTCCCAGGCCGTGGGTGGTGCAGGAGATAGCCAGCACACAGGGCGTCCACGGAACCGGTGCTCCCAGAAATGTCTTACAGTTGTGGGACACATTAGGGAGCTGTGCCAGTCTAACCAGGGATGGTGAACTGCTCTGAGGTTTAGGGCAATAAGACCATGACCTTCTGAGTGTGCAGTGAGCACATGGAAGGTTCCAGAACAAAATGTGATGGTTTCATTACAGACTGGCTTATTACATCAAAGTGTAGTTCCCAGATAGGTGTTCAAAATGAGGTAAGTAGAGAAAAGGAGAGCAAGCATCCAGAAGCTTCCACAGCAGAGTGCCACTGCCACAACATCCGAGCTTGCACCTTTGTATTTATGAGAGACTCCGTCTATGATAGATAAGGAATCTAATACCTACTCTGTGCCACGGGTGGCTTGAGGAGGGTTTAGACTACTTATTCATCTTCTCCAAAGAGTGACTGGGTAGTGTATCTTTGAAAGCAGCCATTTAAAAAAAAATTCTTACCCTGTAGGTGAAAAACTTGAGAACCCAGCATACTCAAAGTGTGTTTCTATACTCGAATACACTAATACATAAAACTAGGCAATAATGACTATTGCTTTATATTATGCTTCACTGTTTTATAAGGACAAATATGAAAATATTCTTCAAAATTTCACGCGCCTCCAATGTCAAGAAGCAAGCATCACACAGATGAATGCCCATGAGGGAGATCTCCCGTGTGTCTCCATTTTACAGGTGAGGGAGCTGAGGCACAGAGAGGCTAGGAAAGTCAGATCACCCTCTCCTGGTCGCCATAACAGGGCGTGGGGAGATCGGGAGATTCTTCCAGGAATGGGCGGGCTGCCCCCACCCCGATCTACACAGGCCCCAAGCAGTGAGGAGTAAATGGGGGGATGTGGATAGTGATGGGGGCAGGGGAGCCCTCCAGGAGTCTGGCCTACAGGACTGGGGGGGCTCTGCCGCCTTCCCCAGGCCCCACCTTCTGTGCAGTCACTGGTTTTCCTTTATTCTCCACCCCTCACTTCAAAACCACTGGTCTCTCTGCTATTAGTTTCCTCTTGGGACGATGCCCACCCATGCCGTGGAACTGGGAGATCTCAGCAGTTAGGAGAGTTAAATCAAGCGATCCAAAGAGGGAGAAGGCCAGATGGGAGCCCAGCACCACTGATGGGACTGCTCTCCATCTGGTGGGGACACCCCGAGTGCATGCGGGTGTGGAGTGGGGGTGAAGTTTGAGCCCTGGCCCCAATGGCACTTCTGTGCGGCCGGCTCTGTGCTGGCTACCTCCCTGTGCTTGGCGCACGCACGCTCACAGCCCCCTGGAGCCGGCTGCTCCCACGGGGTGATGGGAAAACCGGCAAGAGAGGACAGGAAGCCTTGGCCACACGAGCAGCAAGCATTCAAGGTCTCCAGACTGGGGGAAGGTGGGGGTCCTTTGTGGGGGGTGCAGGCTGGTGGCCCGGGCAGGGCATCAGCCTGGCTGTGGGGCAGTTTTCTTCTGCTATTGCAGCCTGTGTCTGGCTGGTAGGAGGCGGGGGTGGGGGGGTGAGGGGGGGGGGGGGGTGTGTGTGTGTGTGTGTGTGTGTGTGTGTGTGTGTGTGTGCTGCGGGGGGGGGGGTGTGTGGCCAGAAGAAGCGTGGGAGGGGTGAGCTAGAGAAGGACCCAGCTGAGCCAGGAACTCAGCCCTCAAGGCAGTGGGCCAGCACCCTCTGTCCCGTAGCCAGGCCCGGAGATGAAGGTCAAGCCTACCTGCCTCCACATTCTGGCTGAGGCTTCCAGGCCGCAGGGGCAGCTGGGACTCACTCCAGCCAAGCCAGGGTGGCGAGGCCCATTTCTGGAGACCTGGGGACACCACAGGGATTTGGGGCAGAACCTCAGGTACCTAAGAATTCTAGCAGCTCAGGGCTGCCCGCCAGCCCCGCGTCCCTGGAGACACAGCGCAGGATCTCATTGAACACGGCTTTTCTCTCCTGGATGTCAGACTCCCCCACAAACAGCACCTTCCTGGGGAGTGGGGGCAGGCTGGCCCCCGGATAGCGACTGGTCAGTTTCTGGTAGAAGTCCTCAATCTCGCTGTACTTTTTGGAGACCTGGCAGGAGAGGAGACGTGGTTTCCTGAGTGAAGAGTGAGCGGCGCGCCCCTCTCACCCTGACTGGGGGCCCGGGAGGGCAGGCTATTCCGAGAGGCCTTGGGGGGAACCCGCAGCCTTTCTCTCCACCTCAGGTTCCATTCCTAGCCCTCCCGGTCAATGCCAGGCCAGTTAGCAAAGTCTCAGGGGCCCAAGGAAAGATGAGGTGGTGGTGGATTCTGGGCACTGCCACAGGCCAGGGACAGACATTTGATGCTAGGCCCTTCCTCGCCTGCAGGTGATGTGGCTGCCACCTCTACTCTGGGCTTTCAGCACACTAGCTGGTGACCTCGCAGCCTGCTGGGGGGTAAGTCATCTCACAGAAACTCCACCTGTCACCGTTCTCCAGCCAGGGTCTCCAGACCATCGTCTGTGAACGAGCAGCAGCTGTCTGGCGGGCCAGTGTGCACTGGGCTCAGGTGGTGAACGGCCAGGCAGAGCAAAGTTGGTTTCTCAGCCCTGCCACCCGCCAGCACCCCTCCGCACACCGGCACCTCAGGAAGCAGGCCCTCAGACCATCTATAGCCACGAAGGGCTTTCTCAAGCTCTTCTGTGTGTTTACTCTGAGTGGGGGCCCCAGCATGGTCTGTCCCAAGGCCCGGGCTCCCCCGTGGGGTGAGCAGCCATCACCGAGCAGGTAAGCCCCACTACTTTGGTCTCTGTAACCCAGAGAGAACACCCACTCTGTCCCCCATACCTGACACCTTTGTGCTCTCCCTGAATGCTGGGCTCGTCTCCCCAACTCCAAAGGAGCTTCGAGGGGGATGACTCAGCTGTGCCCACCCACAGTGGCAGGCCTTGCCGGCCCGAGAGTGCACTGACTTGCCATGCGACTGATGACTGGTGATGGCAGGCACCTGTGCTGTCAGATGCGGGAGACCTGCCACCCCTGTGCACAGCTGTGAGGGTCTCACAGCCCTCGCTGACCAGCATCGTCACCAGAACCCCTGGCAGGTGAGGGCTCCAGATGCCAGGAGGTGACTGGGGTACTGGGAACTTGAGGCTACCCATCCCCACAGGGGATCATCTGGGACAGGGGGCTGCAGCCTGCATCTACTGACATGAGACTGGCTCTGGGGCTTTCCTAGAAAGGCCTCATGGAAGAATAAGAGTATCATTTCATCAAAAATGATGAGGCCCCAATCCCCAGGGACTAAGCCCCGGGGGCTCAGGACTCCAGCCAGGCTGGACCAGCCTCTGGAAGCCTGAGGCGCAGCAGAGAAGTCAGGTGGGGGCCGAGCACCCTCTGCTGGCCAGACTGCTCCATGCAGGCCTGGCTACGGACCCACCAGGACTGGGGTTCTGAAAGCTGCAGGCCTCGTGATGGGGCCCAGGAGCTTTTGGTCAGGGGCACCTCCATACAGGGTCCACGGACACTCATGTCCCAAAGCAAGGCCTTTCCAGGTAGTGACCTATGCAGCAACAGGAGGAGGCCAAGAGAGAGGCCCTGGGTGCCCAGGGTGGGACTCCCATTTATTTAGTGTCCCCACCTGCAGGGGACCACAATATCACCCTGAGTCCCTCAGCGTCAGAGTGTGGCAGCATGGCCAGCACATGTGGTGAAGCAGGCAGGTGCCCCTTCCCGAAGCTGGCTCTACTCCGGCCCATGTCCATGGAAATGCATATTATGTCCTTTGAAGGGGTAGAATACAAGGCGCTTATCAATCTGAAAAAACTCTGCAATTTCAGAGTCTTCAGGCTGTGGCTATCCCCCCGGATCTCAGGGGGAGCAAATGAGTTCTCCTTGCGCTGACAGGTGGCTAGAAGGACTGAGAAGCCCCACTCCTGTGGGCACCCAGGCATGACCCCCCACACCGTGAGAGGCACTGGTGAGGAATGAGTGGTGCTGATGGGGTGCAGAGATGGTGAGAACTCCTTGTGCCCTCGAGGGTTCCCCAAAAGCTGCCTCGCCACCATGCCTGGGGACATCTCAGATACTCTCCTCTCCTGTCCCTGAAAACGTGGGCGCAGGGATCCCGGGATCAAGTCAGATGACCAGGACAGCAAACTGCCCACAGAGCCAAGCGGGCCCAGAAGAGCCACTGGCATTACAGCTGGTTCTTGGCCTGAGCGCCCATGGGCACAAAGCCCCTGCTCGCCCCTCGTCCCCCCTGCTCTTCTACTGTCCCTGAGCCGCTGCCGCCCTGGCCTTTCCCCGTCCCTCCCGCCACCCTCCACTCCTTTCTCGGGCACCGTCATCCACTCCTGGCTGCACTTCAACATCGCCTCCAAGCTGACGCCCCCCAAACCTGCCTTTTAGGCCAGATCCTGTCCCGCTCCAGCCTGTGTGTCCCCAGGGTGGACACCTCACTCCACGTGCCCTCCTTACACTGGTGCCCCCGCCGGTGCCCCTTATTTCACCGGGAAGAAACCATGCCTCGGCGTACTACATGAATATTACCTTGGAAATACTTTCAACTCTCTCCCTCTGCTCCATGTCACTGACCGCTGGCCTGCCCCCAGCTCTCCCCAGGGGTCCCTCGGACCTGGGCTCCTGCCCATGCCTTCCCATTGAACTCCACTCTCCCGCTAGACCAGACAGCCAGGCGAGCCTGCACACCCTCTCACCCCCGGATCCTGCCCATGATCCCCCTCGTCTTCTCCCACATCACCCAGGAGGGGGTACTCCATACTCACGGCTTCCCACACAGCACCCATGTCTAGCCTCCACGCCTTTGCTTGGGCTGACACTCTTCTCCCCTCTTCTGCCACTTCTGCCCCTCACCTCTTCCAGGAAGTCTTCGCTGGGATGGGCTTTCCCGAGGATAGGCTAGGTGACCCCTACTCCCACAGCCCCCGAGCGTGCCTGTCACTGCTTTCTCGGCTCCAAGTCCGTCTCCTCACGGACCGTGAGTGTTGGATTCATGGTCCTTACCGCCAGACATGTGCTGGCATGCCCGCTCCCTGCTGCTGCTGGTGCCCCAATGGCAAGTGTGTCTGCCCACCTGGACCCACAGGCCCCTCGGGAGCATCCTGGCAGGGGCCCCAGCTCACCAAGAACTGGACGACATCCTCGGGCCTGTGCTTGGCCGACTTGAACGCAGCCAGCTGGGTGACCACCAGGATCTGGTACTCCACGTGGCCTGACAACATCTTGCCCCGCACTTCCTGGTGCTGGGGCACAGTCAGGTCGAGGCCCGTGTGGGCATTCTGAACTCGCCTGCCAAAGGGAAAGAAGGCAAAGGAAGAAGCTCAGGGTCAAATCAGCAGGCTTCTCGAGGGAAAGCGGGCAGGACCCTGAGGCGGCTGGGCCAGCTGAAGCTGTTCCATTGACCGGCTTCTGTGATCACTGCTCCAAGCCACCGCCCTGCCTTCCCCAGCCCCTCAAAGACCTTGGCCCCCTAGGCTCTGGGGATGTCCCCAGGAGAAGATGGGGCTCATAGAAAAACCATCAACAGCCAGCTGCCTTACACAAACTGGGCACGTGAGCCCCCGTGGGAGTTGGGGGCCTACCATCCTGGTGGCTCTGTGCTGGAAGGCGGTGCTTGGCTGTGTGCACGAGGCAGGGATGAACTCCCATCCCACCCCGAATGCAGACGAAGATGCCTAACCAGAGGGCTGCACCCCGGGGAAGCAGGTCTAAGTGCCAGGCACTGATGGTCAAGGTCAGGTGCTGCTATATGCTGGGAACCAAGGAAGGGATGATACCTGACGGGGAGGGGCTTCCAGGGTCCCACTGCAGGGGCAGAAGGGGAGGCCCATCCCTCTCTGGAATCACACCCCAACCCATCAGATAACACCAGCCTGCAGCACCCCTTCCAGATCACTCCCACCTCCACAACAGGCACATGGGGGCCACAGCTGTCACATGTGGGAGCACATGCACAGCCACTGGCCCTCTGTGCATGGAGCCCATCACGGGGTGAGGCAGCTCTGCACTGGGGCCCAGGTAAGATGACTTCAGGGAGGTGTTCCAGGAACCCAAAGAGATGCTTCTGCGTAGGAAAGATGAACCAGTATTGGCCAGTAACCCAGTGAGTGTTCCTGCCTGAAGCTGAGTACCAGCCCTGCTGTCCTGGGCTGCACGCAGGTATCACTGTTGGAGTGTGGACGAGCGGAGCTGGGCGGAAGTCAAGTTGCCCGCCCCAGGACACTGGCTCCTGCCGTACCCTGTCAGACTCTCTCAAGGTGTCTCTGCGGCTCTCAGGTTGCTCGGCAGGGATGTGTGCGGCTGCCCCGTCATCAGAAGGCGCACACAGCAGCACTCACTCTCCATGACTCTTTTCTCCTACTGCTTTATTTTCCTTCTTACTGCTGATCATCCCTGACAAGTGACATCTTTACCTACCGCCTGCTGTCCCCCTAGGGTGCCCCAAGAGGGCTTTGCTTTGTCACTGCTGTGTCCCAGAATGGACAGCAGGCCCAGGCGGAGCAGGTCCCAGGAAACTTTTGCAGGACCAATGAGGCTTGAATGCCCTTGCTGGTGAGTAACGGGGGGCTAGAGTGGAAAGTTGAGTTGGGGTGCAAAGCTGAGGGCCTGCCCAGTGGCTGGCCTAGGGCATCTGGACTTAGCCTACAGCTAGTTCCTTGGGAGCGCCAGTACCTGCCAGGCAGGACAAGTGAGAGCCACTCACCTGGCCCTCACCTCTGCAAACACGATGGCTCAGGTGGGGCAGTAGCAAGTCACTGCACCGAAGTCTGTGTGGGGCTGGGAGGGTCTGTGGCTGGCCCTGCTCAGACCTGCCAATCTCAAAGCTCCTTTGTACAGGAAAGGACACTGAAGCTTGGGGAGGGGAGGTGACTTGTGGCATCAGGGAAACCTTCCATGCTTGTGAAGGTGCCACCAAGTGGCACCACGCGGAGGAGGGCGAGCAGGCCTGACGGCAGGATTCCCTGAAAGATTATCAGATTTTTCCAGACCTGAGGTCACAGGGAAGTTTAAATAATAAATTGCTTTGTGTGTGTGTGTGTGTGTGGCGGGGGGCGGTCACTGCTGCAGAACATGAGCCACCCTGACCTGCTTTCCAGATATGAGAAGAGAGGGCCAGGGGAGAGCGCCACCCCGGCGTGCCGGCCCCTTCGGGATCGTCTGTGGGGTCCTCCGGGCCTGGCTCAGGGAGCTCCACCCTCACGCGTGGCCCCGCCACTCCCCTCGCCGGCCCTTCTCCTTGAGCAGCTTCTGACCCGTCCTGCTCCAGGATGCGGCCCGACCCCCTCCCAAGCCCGCCTGCACCCGCGCCGAGCTCCCATGGCGACCTGAACTCGCGCCCCCTCCGGGCCACTCTCCCGCACGGTCCGAGTCATCCAGTCCCCGCCGCGGGGCCCGGGGCGTGCCGGGCGCGCTGAACCAGATTTTCCAGAACCGGCCGCCAATCTCCAGGGACCAGGAGGGGCGCGCCCCGGGCGAGGGCGGCGCGGCCAGTCCAGACCAATCGCGGGGTCTTGGGGGCCTCAGTTTCCCCAAGTGTGAGACAGGGGCACTCGGGCCGCCCGTCTTTCCCGCAGACGCCGCGCGCCGGGGAGGGGGACCCCGCGCCGCCCACGGGGGCGCCCGCCTCTGCGGCTCCCGGCCCGCGCGCCCCGGGACCCCACGACGCCGAGCCGGGGCGGGCGCGGGGCCCGGCTCACCTGGAGGTGACGAGCACGGCCGGGGGCTGCATGGCCGCGGGTCTCCGGGCGCGCGGCGGTCACGGGACCCGCGGGCGGCGGCGTCGCCGCGGCCCCGCCCCGCGCACGGCCCGCCCCGGCCCGCCCCGGCCCGCCCCGGCCCGCCCCGGCCCGCCCCGGCCCGCCCCGGCTCGGCCCCTGGTGGCCGCCGCGGCCGGCGAAGGGACGGGGCTGCCCGGCCTCTGCGGGGCTCGCGGTGCTGACCGCGCCCGGGGCGCAGCGCGGCGAGGGTGCCCGGAGCGCCCCGGCTCGGAGGCTGAGTGCTGTGGCCCCGCTTTGGGGACGGTGCTGGGGAAACAGGGCCCCTTGTGCTGCTCCTGACCCGAGCAGGAGAGGCCGGAGCCATGTCAGCGGGTTCAGATGCGGCCACGTAACCTGCAAAACACACACCGCGCCGCCCGCTGGAGGCGGTCCTGCGCCAGGCCCCTCCCGCTGGCTTTGAAAAGAGGCAAACTGGCCCTGCCCAACGAAAGTTTCTGAAAAATGGGCCTCCCTGGTGGCGCAAGGGGTGAAGCACAGCACTATGAAGCAATCCGCAGCCTCTGCAGCACGAGTTCGATCCCCGGCTGGCCAGGGAGCAACCCACATGGCGAGGCAGACCTCTCCTGCCTCGCCCGCTGCTCCCCTCAGCAGTGTATGTCAGTCAGTCTGCCTGTTCTGCTCCCCACTCTGTCTCTGGTGAATCCTCTCACCCCCTGTACCTCTGGCCTATATCCCAGTTCTTGTGTGCATAAATAAATAAATCTTCTTTAAAAAAAGTTTCTGAAAACTTAAATATTACTCTGACACTTGTTTTTTTTTTTTTTTTAAAAAGCGGGGGGTGGTCAGGAAGACTATTAAGACTTACACTAGGGGTGCAGACAAGGCAATAGGGAAAGAACTGGGACCCATGTCCCCAGTACAAGGATACTGGGGAGAGGGAGCACAAGGAAATTTAGGTGACAGGGAGGCCAAGGACACCCCGAGGGGGACCGGGTGGTGATGAAGTCCACCTGCTTCCAAGGGTGGGGCGGGAGGCTGCTCAGACCGGGCTGGGCGGGCCAGGCTCCCCACAGGAGGCCGGGATCAAGGCCTAGTTGAGAGGAGGCTTCAGAAGAGCCTGAGCTTTGAGCCTTTGCCACCTCACCGTTTCCCTCTCACCGCAACTGGGAAACCTCCCTCCTGTGTGTGGCCGTCCCCTCTCCACGTGCCTCTGTGCCTGCCTCCCTTCCTGCTGCCACCCTGCCATGCTGCTCCTACCTCAGGAAGACGAGGCTTGACTGCGCTTCCCAAGGAAAGAGCCCTCCCCTGGGCCCCACGCCCTCTGGAACGCTGGTGCCACCACCCACCTCACTGCGGTGCCTCTGAGGTGCTCTGCCCCCAGGGCTGGGCACTGGGGTGCAGGTAGTCAGTGTGGGGGGTCTGTGGAGAGAATGTGTAGCAACCGAAAAGGACCTCCCTGTTGTCTACGCTGTCCGCATTGTAACAGTGTCACCCCTGCAGGAAGGCAGGTTCCAGGTTCCCTGCCCCGCTCAGGGAGGGTGTTGCTGAGCAGCAAGGGGAAGCCGAACAGGACTTGGGGGAGAAGGCTGGAGGGATGAGGCCTGGAGGAGGCCCGTGGAGCAGACAGACATGTGAAGAAGCAGCCGCACTTGCTTCTCGGCCTTTGCCTTCTCTACAGGAACTTGGCTGTGGACAGAAACACCTGGAAGAGATGTGGGAGAGAGACCCAAGGGGAGGCTGGCAGTGGCAGCCTTTAACTTGATTTGTACTTTGATTTGCTCCTTTTGGCCCAGACTTGCCTGGCGCCTTCTGCCCCTTTCCTGGGGTTCTTTCCAGAAGGTGCCTTAGACTTGGGGCAAGTTGTCAGGCCTCAGTGGCCCTGCTCTGGGCCAGCCCTCTTTGGCTGGGCATTGACCCACGAGGGGACGGGCCACTTCAGGTGCTTGATTTGGAAACTATATTCTTTCCCTTGTCTTCGTCACACTAATCGTCTTGAAGTTCCTTCCATTAAGTTCCTACGCACCAGAGTATGTTTAGTTTTGATGCGGCAGATGGCAGAACCTAGAGCGGGCAGGTTTGGGGGTTCTGGGTTGCCCCTCACCCTGCCCTGTAACATCTCCACAGCGAGCCCCACTGGCAGTGTTGGGGCTTAGTGGTACCACACACCATGGGGTGATACCTGTCATGGCATCATTCAAGGTCAAACACAGAGCCCCCATTCCTCACCCAGCAGGGAGGGTTGAACAGATAAGGGAATCTGTAAGGTTGCCATGGAAACCAGGCCTAAGCGGGACCACCTTGACCTCCTTCACCAGCAGAGCTCCAGGAGTGCAGAAGCAGAGTCCAAAGTCACCGCCCTAGACCAGACATCCCAGCAGAACAGGTGCGAACCGCTGACCCAAATGGGCAAGCCCCTGAGAACAGAGACTAAAAGCAGCCTCAGGGTCCTCCCGCCCGGGGCACAGACCCCTGCCCTGCCCACTGCACCCCTCAGCAGTGTGCTCACAAGCCCTTCCCTGTGCGCCATGGTCTCTGGTGCCGTGTGCCTGCTCCCTGGGAGCCTCGCTCACAACCACCACCTCATGGTGACCGGCCTCGTCGCCCGTATTTAATCCCAGTTTTCATGAAGAAATTCTAAAGCGAAAAGTTTAGAGAGACGAATCGCTTTCCCCGGTGCATCTTGAGCACTGCAGACACGCATGGCCTTATTTCGCTTCTTTCAAATATGTTTGTGGACAAGCTGAGGCCGCGAAAGGAGGGATGAGCGAGGGAAGGAAGGTCTGGAGGGGCCCAGGCTGCTGCCCGCAGGCCAGCAGGTGGGGTTCACGGTGGCCCAGGCTTGCCCCTCAGAGGAAGGCGGGGCGGCGTGGAGGCCCAGGCTGCTGCTCCTGCGCCGGGCCACACAGCTGGTGGGAAGCGCCTCAGCCCAGACCTTCCCCAGCCGGAGCGGCAGTACAGGTGTACAGTGAACAAGGGGCAGCCATTGCGCTGGCGGCTGCCTTGCCCTTATATTTGCGGAGCGGGGTGTCAGGGAGCCAAAGTCCAAGAGGGCCTGAGAATGAGGATAGGGCAGAATAGGACTATCATGCAGGAAGCCTGGAGACAACAGGAGGGAACTTAGAATTCAGAGGCGGAAGAGGGAGCAAGGGGAAGGAAAAGGGATAGGCAGGAGACAGGTAGGGGGCCGGAGGGCCCGGTGCCTAGCCAAGGGCGGGGCCAAGGACTGTGTGAACTGAGGGCCAAGTGCAAGCTGAGGGTGGGCGTACAGCCAAAGGGCACGTAAACAGTGGGAGTCGGGTAAACAGCCAAGGGCCGGGCACACAACTGAAGACCAGGTGCAGACCCCAGGGCCTCGTGCATGGTTGAGGGGCACCTGCACAGCCCAGGGCCAGGGGCAAGAGTGAGGGCGGGGTGCAGAGCCGAGGGCCGCGTGCAGAGCCGAGGGCCGCGTGCAGAGCCCAGGGCCGCGTGCAGAGCCAGGGACGGGTGCAGAGCCAGGGACGGGTGCAGAGTCAGGGCCGCGTGCAGAGCCCAGGGCCGGGTGCAGAGCCCAGGGACAGGTGCAGAGCCCAGGGACAGGTGCAGAGCCCAGGGCCGGGTGCAGAGCCCAGGGACGGGTGCAGAGCCCAGGGCCGGGTGCAGAGCCCAGGGCCGCGTGCAGAGCCAGGGCCGGGTGCAGAGCCCAGGGACGGGTGCAGATCCCAGGGACCCCAGGGACGGGTGCAGAGCCCAGGGCCGGGTGCAGATCCCAGGGTCGCGTGCAGAGCCAGGGCCGGGTGCAGAGCCCAGGGACGGGTGCAGATCCCAGGGACCCCAGGGACGGGTGCAGAGCCCAGGGCCGGGTGCAGATCCCAGGGTCGCGTGCAGAGCCAGGGCCGGGTGCAGAGCCCAGGGCCGGGTGCAGAGCCCAGGGCCGCGTGCAGAGCCAGGGCCGCGTGCAGAGCCCAGGGCCGCGTGCAGAGCCCAGGGCCGGGTGCAGAGCCCAGGGACGGGTGCAGATCCCAGGGCCGCGTGCAGAGCCAGGGACGGGTGCAGAGCCCAGGGCCGCGTGCAGAGCCAGGGACGGGTGCAGAGCCCAGGGCCGGGTGCAGAGCCCAGGGCCGCGTGCAGAGCCCAGGGCCGGGTGCAGAGCCCAGGGCCGCGTGCAGAGCCAGGGCCGGGTGCAGAGCCCAGGGCCGGGTGCAGAGCCCAGGGCCGCGTGCAGAGCCAGGGCCGGTGCGCAGCCGCGGGGCACGTGCACGGCCGGGCCAGGTGCACACAACCCGAAGCCCCACTTGAGGCCATCGCAGGGCTGTGAGCGTGAGCGGCCCCACCAGAAAGCTGTGGCTCGAAGCATGAGGCACTGGCGGCGCCGTGCGAGCAGCAGGCGGGACTCGGGCTGTGGTGGCGGGCGCGGGGGACTGCGGTGGAAGCGGGACGCGGCCGAGACAGCCGTCATAGCGGCCGGTGGCAGAGGGCGTGAGGGCGGGGCCGCCCAGCCGCCGAGGAGGGCGCGCCCCCGGGGCCCGCGGTGACGCCCGCCGGCCTGGCGCGAGGCCCGAGGAGCCCCCGGCGACAGCGCGGACCGCCGAGGGGCGCGCTCGTGAGGGCGGGGGCCCCCATCTCTCGGGCGGCGCGGCCTGTCCCCAGTGCCGGTGGCGGTCGCGCTGCGCCCGTGGAGGCCCCGGCCCGGCCCGCTTTCTGCCTGCGCGCGCCCGCGCGCCTTCCCGGGTAATCGCCTGCAATGCCTGGAATGCGGGCTCCAAATCTGATCTTTTCTGCTTCCTGCCTGACTCAAGGAGCCCCTTCCATGACTGAGCTGCCGTAACGCAAACCACATTGCGCGGGGCGCGCCGCCGGGAGCAGCGCCCAGGCCCCGCCTCGAGGAGTCCCCGGCCCGCGCGCGGCCGCTTGGAGACAAGACTGCGCTGGGCTGCGGCCTCTCAGGCCCAGGCGGCCCTTGTTTCTGCTGGGGCCTGTTTCTGGGGACCTGCTGGTTTCTTCCTTCTAAAGAGTGATGCGTTAGCACCCTAGGGGCCCGGCACCCCAGTG